CAAATAAAGTGCTTTTGCTTTCGCACTGAAACACACAGCGTCTCCCTGACATCACTGTATCAACACAAATGCTGTTCCTGAAACCACGCCTTCTTTCTTTGCGTGCACATTTGGGCAGCATTATGCTAATATTTCCACATCGTGACGTAGGTATGTGGGGGCGTGTTAGAACGAGTCGTTTTAGGTAGGCGTGGCTGACTCTTAACTTTTATAAAGAATATCTCTTTGGATTTGAGACTTTAGTCTTTGCAACTTTACAGATCTTCTTTATGCACCAAGAGCTTGTAACACTCCAAAGAGAAAGGAAAAATTGAAATCGCATCATATGACCCCTTTAAAGAAGTTACATTGAAATGCAATAATTTACTACAGTGCGTTTGTCACTAGAGGGCAGCACTAACCCTTTCAGCCACGAATGCATTCAGATACTTCAGCAACAAAAACAAGGGCTGAACCACAGTTCATCCTAAATAAAGTGCTGTTAGAATGACTGTCTCAAATCATAATATGCTGAAAATGCACAGTTATGTTCAGAATGTAAAACTGACGTACTGAACAATGTCCAGTATGTACTGCATCCTGCCTATTGTTTTTGCATATTAGTAGGCATTTTTCCGCCATAGATGATTAGTCACATGATCTCATGATGTTGCACATAAGTGGCGTCCAATTATCATCTTGTAAATGAATCGGGGTATTTTATATTTTGAATGAAATGTTGTTTTAAAAATGTAACTTTTGGCAATCTGATTAAATAGTGAGTCTAAAAAAAAGATGCTCAAAATCATGACTAACATTGCTTTCAGTTTCTTTGTCACGCTGGAGTCATGTGCATTGCATTGTGGTGAAGAAGTCCCTAGTTCAGAGTTCTCCGTTACTGTACAACTGTCATGTTGGCAACTGTAATAAATCGTATGAGTATTTCAAGCATACAGTGCATTCCAGTCTTTCTATAAAGAATAGACTTACAAAAAAGCCTTTCATGCACAAACGGCTCCTGTGAGACAAAACACATCCTGGCACTTGAATGCAGCCCAATGGAGGATTCAGCTTTTAAGGCCGATCAGCAAGAGCACTTTGTCTCATAGGAAACAGTTAACAGCAACAGCATGTCTAAGATATAGAAGCGTGAACTCACAGGGCAAGGCTTCCAGTTCTTTAGTGTTCTCGTCCTTCTCGTTGTCTCTGCTTTCCTCCTCACTGTCCTTCCTGAAGTCTGTGGGAGACTGCAGCTCCTGCTCCTCCGTGTGAGTGTTCTGCTCGTCCACCACTACAGCACAGACACAAACATGCACTTCTTCACGTGGAACATAGAAGTAGGCAGGGCTGGGTAATATTTTATTTATATAGTAATTTTCATGTTTTTGATGGAGGTATAAAATGACACAAAATTGTGAAGTTTCCCAAAGAGCGTGTCATCAGACTAGTTTCGCAATCTTTCCTTGTCTTGAGAACTGCTGCAGCTCTGAAGGTGACTGATATCAAGAATTACTCTTACATCATTTCACACTGACTTTAAACCTGAGTTGCATACAACTAGCATTGCTCAATTCAGTTTACTTATGTGAGTCACTTTTTTGTTGCAATGAATCAATTCAAAACTCTTGGATATCCCAATGTGACATTCCTTATTATTATTATTATTATTATGTTGTAAAATA